GCCCAGCCGGTGGTCAGCCTGCGCCGTCTCTGCCGCTTGCCAGCTACATGGGGGCGCAGGGGGCGGCACCACGCATGCGCGGCGCTCCCGGGCAGGGAAAGCCCTCGACTTATGATCGGTTGGGTAGTCCTCAACTTACGACCGGTTGGGGGTCGCGGCATTAAAAAGGTTGAGAACTACTGATTTAAAGAGTCTCTACCTTAATTACTCACAGCAAACAAGGGTGAGAAATTCTACTTACGTTTTTTGAGATTCTATATTTACTGCATTCTAGCATAAAGATTACATTAGCAAAATCTTTGTGGTTCTTTTTTTGCTTATTTGTTCTTATTCCTCTTGGGCTGTCCATCCCCCAACCCCAAGTACACTGGTAAAAGGATTACCTAATTTGCAAATGTTATTCTACAAGGGATATTATATCATGTGGCTCAGTAGATAAATAAGAAACAAAGCGAAACATTATACAGTAATGTGTGGAACTGATGGATTCCCCCCCCCAAGTTAATTGTTACATTGAGCTAATTGTGATGGTTCTTTCTACAAGAACTTGGCAAATATGATGAAAATCAGTGCTTTGGAACTGAGCCACACTATATGTAGTTTCATCTCATGCTCATGCCTTCTTCCTTAACATAAAAATTCCCTGCTTTCATCTGCAAGGAAGTTAGAAAGCATGGACACAATATGTGTACGCTAAATTAATGATGGCAAATCCATGACACATGTGTCAAAGGTGGCACACCATCATTCACCTAACAATAACTAGTCTTGAAAGCATTCCCAATCTTCAGAAAATTTTGGGGTGATGGAGGTGGAACAATGGAGTGTGTCTTCACATCTTCTGGACATTGTATGAGAAGGCCACGCTCTCGTGCGGCCTCCAGAGCTTCCAGAAGTTGTGCAAGAACAGGGCATGCTCTCATGAAGTTTCCTGATATAGCAGAAGAGCATTTTCCCCCAAGCTGCTTCAAGAATGAAGGCCTTCTGTGACCCATGGCAGCTCAAGTCAACTAGAGCCCTGTGAATAGAAAGAGAACACAACTGAATGTAAGTGGTTTGTGGCAGATCTTGGGGTCTCTGAACCATGGGGGCAATCACAATGTTTCCTAAGGTTCACAAGCATTGGAAAATAGTGCAAGGTAGCATTTGTGAGTGGCAGCAGTGGAACTAAGGCATCATCACTAGGAAGTCAGGAAGCCTACAAATCATTTGTATGTCTAAATGAAGGGAAGGGAAGGGATACTTTCTTCCAGTTAATATGTTTATGAGCAGGCTGTAAGCTATACAAGGCTTGCTTTATGCCGGAGATTTAAATGCCTTGAGAATTAAAGTTAGAAAGACTTTTTTTTGTCTTTCTGATGATAATGAACTCTAAATTAGTGTTTTCCAAAAGGCAAATTATGATTCAGGAAGTTTGGCTTGATATTAATCTCCCTGTATAAATGTAGACAATGTCAAGGAAGAAAACACTATATTCCATTTTGATCTCTTGGAATTATTAGATATCCAAGAATTAGCAGTCATAAATTATTGGTAAGGAAATTGGTTATAAATATGAAACCAACCAGCATAAGCTTCTATTCTAGATTTCTTCATATACAAATTTATCATCACATCCATCATGCCACATCAATTAGTATTTATTTTTTCTACTTTAAAGATACATATAGCAGACCATAGATCACAAGTTACTGATGCCAAGAATCCAAATTGTGTACCATAATTTCAGTGAATCTTTTTTATTATTTCAATGCAGTTGTGAACTGACAGGTTTTTTTTCACTGCCAGCTTCAAACTATTTCACAGCTTGAAAACCTGTTAAATGTCCTTCCCTAAGTCTAAGTCTAACTGGTGGCGAGATTTCTGCAAACAGTTTGACTTCAGTGTTGTTGTTGTTTTAATTGTTCCAGGAAATATCTTAAATAATAATAGCTAGCTAGGAATAAGTATCTGATATTTAACCACCTGGGGCTTCAATCCTATACAATTTTTATTTTGGCATAATTAACACTGAATTCAAGGAGGTTTACTTCTAAGATGTATAGAAGTGCATAATTTTTTAAAATAAATATTTTATTAATTTTCTAATTTACAATCATGAGTACTTAATAAACAACATGTCCATTGGTAATCCAATATTACCCCATCTAGTGCTTCCTTGGTCTTCCCTTTTTCCAGTGGTATGCATTTTTATACATTGGGCAGATACAATTTTGTTATTGTTAATACATATACAATTAAATATAGACATCTTCATCACATTTTTCTGGTATTATACATAATATCGATAGTATCAGTTTATAATATCTTTTCTAGCCAGAATACATCTCAATTGCATTTGCACTTAAAATCCATTTATTCAATCAATATCCTGTTTTTCCCACTTTTTTAAAAAAATAATTTCCCATCAATGTTCAAAATATTTCTATCGCGTATAGTTTTCTCATAATAAATTATATTTGGGTAACCAAAAGCTTCCCTTCAAACCCTTTTAAAATTTTCATATTTCCCATCTCATAACAAAATATAATATTCTAGTTACAAATCCTATCCTAATTATAAAAATACTTTTATTTCTAAAAGTTATCTATTTTCTTAACCATATTAAAACATCTTTTTAATAGTATAATATCCCATCTAATAGGTCAACACCTCTATTTTCTTCAGTCTTACTCTAGCTTTCTTCCTTTGCCAAATAACTTTCCACTTTCCACTTTCAATGCATTTAAATCATCAAGTAATTCTTCCTCTGTTTTTGTATATATTGTTTGAGATGAGGAAGAGAATTTGATTGAAGTATTTTTGGAAGAACATTCAACCCATTTATATTCATTAAATAGCCTCCATCCTTCTTCAGTTTTTCTTTTCATTTCTTGTTTATCAATATTCAGCATTTCTCCTAACAGCTTTATCATCCGTTCGATCAGCTCTTCCTTATCCTTAAATATGTTCTGACATCTTGACAAGTAAGATATCTTTTCCATTTCCAGTGTTATCACTGCATCTTCTAATTTTTCATTTGTCTGTATCTGTCTGTTAATTCCTTCCTTTAGGTCCTCAATCTTGGATCCATTTCTTCTAATTTTCTTTCTGTTTTTCTGGGTTACTAGTTCCTTCTTTGCAGTCCTTGCCTGGATATGTAAATTTAGGTTAGAAAATTGTTCTTTTATTTGCATTATTTTAAGTCATGAAATAAAAGAATTGTCTCTTGGATTGATTTCAACATGGAAAGAATTTCTTTCTGAGGTTCATTAATATTTTCTTGTTGGTATATCAAGCTAGGGGCTTCAGAGACAAGTGTTAAAGATGTTTTTTACCATTTGAGTATGGAACACCCATTTGGATTTTGTATGTAGTCTTTATAGTCCAATAGGGTCCACAACACAGATAAGCAGCCCAAGAGTTTTTTTTCCCCTTTCCCAGCTGCAGTCTGCAAAAGTGAAAGTTTCTAGGAACAACAAAGAGTCTTATCTGGGTTTCAAGCCAAGTTTCCTTTAAGCATAATAAATTATAGTGCCGTGATTGACCACTACATGTTGTTGACACCGTCTTCCAGCTTTCCAAATCCAAGCTTATTTTACAGACTTTCAAATATCTTTTCTAAAAAAAAAAGTCTCAGAGATACTTTTACTCCCCAAATTTCAAAGCTATGTAGCTGTATTAATTCCAAATTGATCTTGTAGTTTTCTCTATTTTCCTCCAAATTAATTCACCACTTTTCTTTTCCTGAGGGAGCAGAGCAAAAACTTCCCTTCCCTTTCTCATCTGGGAGGATTCTTTGCTTTGGGCATTCTTTTTTCCAGGAAAGTAGTATTAAGGTCATAAAAAGAGGATAAAGTCTCACCCAGTTCCATCCATGTTGCTCAAAAATTGCTAGTTAGTGATTATCTTCTGTTGTCAACAGTTTCTGACTGGCCACACGGATGTAGCCAGTCTTTCCCCCACTGGTTTGGAAGGCTTCCTCAGATCCAGCAGAAGGGCCGTCACCCCTCTGCAATCGATGAGGGTCCCCTCCTTCTTTGTCATCTCTCCAGGGTGACTTTTGACCTTTTTTAGGGTCCCAAGTGGGGTGAAATTGAACATTGAAGATGGAGCCCCGTCTTCCTGCACCTGTTACAGCATGATGCCTAACCAGAGATCTGTATCATTATATGTATATATACACACACACTATAATTTACCTCCTTTCATACTGAATGAGGTAAATAGCATTACTTAATTGAGTTATTCCTGTGATGTAGCAAATAATAATAAATGTTTAGTATGAAAACAACAGAAGAGAGGGAACTGGAGTGTAGGGGAAACAGACAAGGAGAAGAGTTGTCCTGTACCTATGTGTTTAATGTATTCTAAAATTTAGGGTTGTTTATTGTTGTTTACAAGTGAGGCACTGAATTTCTTCTCAGTATTAATAAAATAAGTATTTTACAAATAAGTTAGATATAAAGATGGCTTTGATATGCATGCATCTCTCAAACTCTTAAAAGTGGTAAAATGCTCAAATTACAAAATTAGGCACTTGAAATAGAAGAGGGATGAATGTGATCTGAAGTTCTGAAGCAGTAAGAAGAGAACATAATTACTGTAAATGAAGATTCAAATTGCTGTAGCTGTCTGAAATTGAAATATTACAAACTGATACTTTAGAATCACTATTTTAATGGGCTTCATAAATTCTAATGACTGAATTGTGAGAGAAAAAAAGAGGCAAATGTTAGTAAAGTTCATTTTTTTACTACTCTTTCATCTTGAATTCCTTCAATTTTCATCTATAATTTTTGGCTGAAGCCCAGAAGACTATTATATGAGGTGAGAGATTGGGTTTCCTCCAGAACACCTATATTTTATGAACATGGATTTAAAAAAAAAATGGGTTGAAGATGATTCAACTGAATTGGCCCCTTGAACCAATTCTACAAAGTAGTGTGGCATTGTGCCCTTAGTCCTTGGGTCTGTTCCTTCAGTGGTATTCTAGACAGCATAAATATAGAAGCTACTTACCTCCATTAATTTTCTCTCTGGCAGGTCAGGCACCTTGGTGACTCTATTGATTCAACTGGGATGGATTGTAGTGATTCTGCACCAGCCACTTTGCAACATTTTCTGATTTTAGTAGCTATATCTAAAGATTATAGAATGACAATAGAGCAATATGTTTCCCTTTAAATGGAAGTGATTACTTGTGACAAATGAAGAAATTAGTATTATAAAGCACTCTGTGTAATGAATCTGGAATGCGGGAAATTAACCTTTGCTGTTAATATAGCCAGGACAACCTCTTTGTGTTGTACTTAGACTGCTAATTGACAAAGTTCATTTTGTTCATGGAAAGATCTTATTTGAGGAAGACTTCTTTTTAAGGGAAGGGCAAGATAAATAGCTTCCCACCACCACTAGTAATCCTAATCCTATTTTGAAGGATCTGATAGAATAAGGTGCTGGCAAACTATCTCTTATATTTTCCAACTTTAGAATGTTCACGTAAGAAAGGGTTGCCCCAGGATAATGAGAATCATCACTATTTTATTCAGATATTAGCCCCAACAATACTCTTTATTTTTTTCTGTTTGATGAAGTTCTGTTTATGAAGCACCCTGGAAGTGGAAAAAGAAATAGCAGGTAACAGCTCTATGAAGGTTCAGGGCAGATTTGTTGAAACTCACCCATGCTTATCTTTCAGCAGGTCACAGGGATAAAAAAAAAAGAAGATAAATAGAAACCAACATTTTATTATGTGTTCAACTAGTACAGGATGGAAATATCATTCATAGAAAATAAGATTTTAAAATATAATGTAAAAATTGTAGGTAAATAGGAAGTAAATAGGTAAATAAAAGAACATTTGAAATAAATTTTACTACTATACAACAAAAATGTTTTATATAAATACAATTAATTTTAATGTCTTTATACTAACAAGGTTGTACTATCTGATAGCACTCTGAAAATTTCATACACTGTTGCACAAAACTTTGTAACATTACATGTTATGGAGCGATTGCTATCAGAAAGGAATACTCACAAGTTTAAGTGATCTGGCAAACTACTAGTAATTGGGAAAATAAAAGTCTTACAGATCACTCTGTAGAGTGAGCAATACAGAACACAAGTTCAATTGCCTCAAATTGTCCATCCCAACAGAGGCATAAAATTTTAAGAGAAGAAACTTACTACATCTTTTATCTATGTAACAGAAGTAAGAGGAAAGCACAACAACGTTAAGCAAAAGTTCATCAATGGCAGAGCCAGTTTGGTGTAGTGATTAAGGGCACCAGGCTAGAAACCAGAAGACTGAATTCTAGTCCTACCTTACCTGAATCCAGCTGGTTGACTTTGAGATTAACCTATTCTAAAAACTAAACCTAAACTAAATGGGGAAGTGACATTTTGTGTAGATTTACTGTAAGTTATCTAACCAGGTAACCAAATCTAATAGCTGAAGATGATTTACTACAGGAGTGTTAAACTCAATTTCATTGAGGGCTGCATCAGCATTATAGTTGCCCTCAGGGGTGGGGGGAGACTGTGTGGCCAGGGGAGCATGGCTGGGTGATCACTGCCAACTGGGTCGGTGTGGCCAGTTTTACATTGCTCGCATCAGGTGATGCCTGTGGGGGCCCAGACAGAGTTAGGGGGATCCAGGGGTCTCCTGCAGAGGAGGACAGGATCAAGGTGGGCGTCAGGGCCTGATTCACTGGAGGAGCCTCGCCGACCCTCTGAGGCCATGTGGGAGGCTTCCTGACAGCAATGTGGGCTGCCTAGGGCCCTGGATTGTGGGTGCCTGGCCTGACCCTTGAGCTCCTAGGTTGCTGGGATCAAACAGTACAGCCCCACTTCCCTGAGAGGAGGCCTGGCTGCACTTGCCTCATCCTCAAGGCTGCTGCTGCTGTGCTCACTTTCCTTGCCCAGGCTGGGCTTCCTGGGCTGGAGGGGTCTGAGGGGCAGTGGGGCTTCTGCTGAACAGGGCTGCTGCTGCTGGTGCCACCACCATGAAGGCAGGTGGTGGCTGGGAGTCCTGGCTGCCACTTGGAGATGGGGGCTCCCCACCCTTCATGTTTGCCAGGGCCATTGTTATTGGGGGGTCAGGCAGCAGGCTCAATGGAAGATGAGGTTGAAGATGGGGACCAAGTGTGCAGAGGCCGCAGCATGGTGGTGATGGTGTCTGGCTGGGCTGCTTCACTGCAACTCCACCATCTTTGCTTTCCCACAGCTTCCGCAGCTGGGATGCAGCAAGTGGCTGTACAGCCATTCAGCAGCTGGTGGAGGCAGAGGTGTTGGGGAAAGCAACACCTCTGGATTGTGTGCTGGATTGTGTGCTTTCCCCAACTCCTCTGGATTGTGTGCTTTCCCCAACACCTCTGCCTCCACCAGCTGCTTGGAGGGCCAGCCCAGTGTTCATGGCACTCAGACCCACCTGTGCTAAGCAAGTTGTGGCATCTTGGCTACCTCTTGGGGGTGGGAGTTCCCTGCCCTTCCTGTTTACTGGAAGTCGCTGGTGCAGGAGCAGGCAGGAGGCTCATCCCATGAGTGTGGCGGAGCTGAAGGATGAGGTTGGGTGATGGGGACCAAGCATGGTGGGGACCAAGCAAGCACCCCCACTACACCACCTGCCTCACCTTTCCCCACAGTGGCAGCATCACAGCAGTCAGAGGCAGAGGTCCAGAGGGAGGCATGGGATTGGCCTTCTGGATGCACCAAGTGATCACGTGGCCCTCTGTCCCATCCAAGCTGCAGCTGCCATGGGAAAAGACAGACGGTGAGTGGAGCAGGCAGGTGAACAGTCGACTTTCCAGCACCTCTGGCAGGCTAGATCACATGCCTCCCCCCCATGCCTCTGCCTCTGCCTCCGCCTGCTGCTTGGAAGGCCAGCCCAGTGGTCACGGCACTTGGACCCTCCTGCACTGGCCAGGCTGTGAAATCCCAGAGTGCACTGGTTGAAGAGCCAGGAGCTGTGACTGCTGCTGAACAATGTTAGCCCTCACATGCTTGCTACCTCCTGTGCTCATGCCAGGTGGATGCCCGGCCAGGCTGGGGTGGGCCAGGGCTGGGGCAGTGGGGGATGGTCCCTCTCCATCTCCGGGGTGGCCCTGTGGGTCGGATCTGGGCCCATTGTGAGCCTGATCCAGCCCATAGGCCTTGCGTTTGACATTTCTGATTTACTAGATCAGTTTTGTTTACTTGCTTCAAATTAGTTTTGACTACTGGCAATTATATGAACAAGTCAATGTAACTGAGAATGATTGATTCAAAATCACCCAGTCAATTTCTATGCTCAGAATAGTACTGGAACACATCTAGCACTTTGGGTGCGTGACTTTGGGTTAGCCTTAGGAAACAAACAGTTGTAAGCCACTTCCAAAATCTTACCAAGAAACTACAGGGACTATTTCAGATAGTCACCAGGATTCAGCACTGAACTAAAATTACCCACACACAAAAATAAGTTTATCAGTGCTAAATAACCCTAGAATTACACAAGGTTTATTCCAGTTTATTAAAATTTCTTTTGGATACCTTTGAGTATCTGCAACCTTTCAGAGAGTAATAGACAATCTTTTTTCTAGAAACACAAAATATTATGAGTCCTATCTGGACAATATTATAAAATACTGCAAGATTTGGCAGGAACATCTGCAGCTGTTATAGACTTAATTGAAGTCTTAACTATTAATCCAGCTAAATTTCATCTTGTTTTTTCTGTGTTTTTTCTATGTTATTTGAGCTGCATAGTTGATCAGTAAAAAGTTCAGCTGGAAAAAAAGAAGGTGCAGGATATTCAATAGATACAACTGAGATCTACCAAAAAGTTTGAACATTCATACAAACTATAGGAATAGTTTGGATACTACAAAGAGCCAATGCCCTTTTTCCCCTCAATGAAAGTAATAGCAAAAGCAATGAACCTAATAAAATTGGCTGGATTTCTGAATGTCAACAGAAGGTCATTCTGTTGTTAGTTTATGTTAAAATTACCAGATTTTAATTCTCCACTTATTCTGTATGTTGATTCCTTTGATTTGGGTATGGAAGTTGTCCTAATATGAGTATAAATATAAGATGGACATTATTTAATTTTTACCTTTAAAAAAAAATTCTGATATAAATAAGACCTTTGCTTTGAATGGAAGTGGAGAACAAAAAGGTACATGTTTTATTTATATGATCATGAATACACATTGTTCACATATATGTTGGTTGGAGAAGATGGACAATACTAACAGGAAACCCAGCTACTAGTGTCCAGTACTACAACCATATAAGCTTTTTATTCAATATTAGTTAGGAAAACAATATCAAGGTGCAGATTTTCTGTCTAAAGATGGAACTGATAAATATTCTGGACTGGCTAAGGAATAAAACATATCACTGAAGATGAGAGGATTATAACAAGAGAACAAGAAGATCAGAAGAAGACCAAACAAGATCATTGTTCTGGAAACCACTAGAAATTGCCTGTGAAATGTAATTAATGCCCTTGATTAACACTAAGGAAGGAATTTAGTAATTGCTATACACAAATATAACTTTACTGTATGTTAGCCACATTCACTTAGCTAATAATGGAAGTTGTGCTATTGTAAGCAGGGAGCTAATTAACCATTAAATAGTAGCAGCAAATTAAGTCATTAAGTAATTTATTGCTTTTCTGAAACCAAGCTTCAGAGGTGAAACTACATTATTAGCCTTATGTGGTTTAAATAAAAACTAAGAGGCATAATTGAGTTATGTCATACTGGAAAATTGGTTTCACAGAAAAGTTTTGTCTCTTGGACTTGACTGTCTGGGTCCTGAGAATCCCTGTGTGCTGCCCATGACATTTCTACTAGAGATTTACCAAAATAAGCCATGCAGTTTTTCATACAACTATCATTAAATATGTGCACATATTAGTTAACAAAAATATAACATGTTCACTTGCTTTCCCTTCCCCTTGCGTCATTATTAAGGAGGATCTCAAAACAAAGCAATCAAACATAGAAATGCAACTGACCCTATTTATAATAGATTCTAAGGACATTAATCAATTAAACTGAAAATAAATAAAAGAAAAACGTCTCCTTACAGTGCTTGTGTGCACTGGATAGAAAACCAGAGATCTGCCTCCATAGTGCCTGGCCTAATATTTTAATTGTCCAACAATTTCTATTCTATTGGTTACACTATTGTCAGATAAACAATTGCAAAAGGTGAATCTGAAAATGAGAAAAAGAAAGGTGCATTAGACATTACCTTTCTGTACACTTTTAAAGTCAGGGCAGAAAACGAAGGGAGACTTCACACTGTTCCTCCTAGGGAAGGATTATGACAGGGAAAGAATTACAAACCCTGTTGATTATTCAGTGAAATAGCATATATAAGAGATCCTTGCTTCTTTCTTTTGGGTTAGAAAGAACATCAATAACCATTTCCTAATTAAGGAGCAGTGCTTGACTTGACATTGTCCTCTTTTCTTTCCAATCTCTTTTCATTTTGTGTTATGTATTTTAGATTTTAATTATAGATGTTAGTAAACTGCTTTAGAGCCTTTTCATCCCAAGAGTAAGATAAAGAACACTAATAGCAGCATTTAAAATAAAATGCACATATAGCCAAATGTCAAATTAGCGGCCGTAAGCAGTACTGCAGACATAACTGAAACATTGCACTGTGTTAATTCAGCATTCAACTATTAATGCAGCTTGTACTACAAGTAAAAGTTATATAGGTAATAGAAACAAGATAAGCATAAACCCATGAATCTCTTAACCAGCAAGAATGAACACCATTTGGTTAAAATGAAGGAGCCCTTAAACATTGGAACACTGCTATCATGTCAGGCCTAGTCATTTTTTTCATTAAACTAGACATACCCTATTCCTGCAATGATTCTTTATTTTTAACCAAATGGTGTTCATTCTTTCTAGTATCCACAACTTCTGGAGGCACGTCATTCCACTGATTAAGTGTTCTAACTGCCAGGAAATTTCTCCTTAGTTCTAGGTTGGTTCTCTCCTTGATTAGTATCCATCCATTGCTTCTTGTCCTGCCACATAGAAGAGGGGTACTATCCAAAACATCTGAAGACAGGATACCCCAACTCTGGAAGTTTTTAAGAAAAGATTGGACAACCATTTGTCTGAGATGGTATGGCTTCAGCAGGGCTAGAAGACCTCCAAGGTCTCTTCCAACTCTGTTTTTCTATTATAAGTGAATTACTGACGTCCTTTAGTATTGTCCGTAAAGCTACTGAACAGTATCAGAGGATAACTTTAAATAGAGATGGACTGTCTAAAAACATGTCTTGTAGGTTCTGTCACATAAAAGAATGCACACTAAATAACTAAGCAGGAAGTGAACAGAAAAATGTCCTTAAATTACAAATGCATATTCTACTTACCCAAACATTTGTGTTTGCACTATTCACAAATACAACTATATACAATGTAATCCTGCATTATGGTAATAGGCAGTACTTTCTGTCACAGGATGATGGCTTAAAATTTCAGACTTTCTGTGTTCAGCTTTCATATATATATATATATATATATATATATATATATATATATGATTAGAAATAAAAACAAAAACGCGACTCTTGGGAGTATTCATATTGTCAAAATAATGATCACCAAGAGAATATCTATCCAAAAATAGAATTTAATCCACCAAGCTTTCGTCAAATACATTTGACATCGTCAGGGTTAAAAAGCAAACGCCGGGGGAAGTCTTATATACAGTTGTTTAATGCCTGTTTCTGGCTCCTGGAGCGTGTCATAGGCCCCAGCTGATCGAATTAAGTCCCAAACACACCCCCCCACATCAGCACCTATTCTCTTTCCATTGCTAATTTGCATTCTGTCATACGTTACTCTGTTAGCTGTTTCAGGGTTGGTCAGGTTGGAGGTCAGGATCTTTTCTCCTCTCCTGCTCATAATTCCCCCACCATCCCACACACGACTTCCCTTAGGAGGCGGGGGTGGGCAATTATTTAAATCGCTTCCAATATCCCTGCAAACCCCAAGATCACTTTGATCTTGTTTATCTATCCCTCGGGATTGTAACGCGGGCTCATAGTCACAGCCCATGCTATTCCCCCTCCCCTCCTCCTTCCCGTTAGTTCTCCTGAATGATCTGCTGTTCGTTTTCACACTCTCTCCCTTGCGCATACTCAGGATGTTTTCTGCCATCATCCCATTGTCAGCGCCTTGTTGTTCCATCCATTGTCAGTAAGCACCATTCCCACTCATCCCCAATTCTCCATTCTCACTCCGTACGGGGCTCTTCCCCTTTAATTGCAGTCTCTGTTTCACTGCGCAGCTTTGTGTTGAGAATGTCAGAGGGGGGTGCCTTCCTCTGCTCGACTGCGACTGGGTTATCATAATGTGCCTGGTAGTGTCCTCAGGGGGGGATTCATCCTCGTTCTCATAGTCCTCGTTAGACTTTACTATATTCTGTTTTCCCTCCGGTTCCTCAAGCCCCACTCCATCTCCATTCCATCCCAAAAAGAGTCTGCTCCCGGCAGGTTGTGACAAACCTAGCCGCGGTTGTCCGCTGAAGTTAGTCTGTTGTTGGTTAGCTGGTAATCACATGTCTGGGAGGGAGGAGCTGTCAATTGAGGTTCCATCGGTGTGATTATGCAGGGAGGGAGGCCAGGCAGTATTTTTTGGATTACAAGTTTTTTGATTGGGTCCCCTCCACACGTTAGTACGGTTGCTGGCACTCCATATTTTCAGAGCTTGATGCGCTGCACATAAGTCCACACGCCAATTGATGGACTCCGTTCCTGAAAACCATGCCTCTTTCAGCAGGCGACCTCCTTTTGTCGTGTCGTTGGCCAAGATTTGGGCATTCTCAAAATCAAAGCAATGATCGTATTCTGCTACATGGGCCCAAATCTGCGAATGTTGTTCGCCTCGTCTAATAGCCAACCTATGCTCATGTAAACGAGTCTTAAGTCTTTTTGAGGTCTCGCCTACATAATTACTCTGGCACTCCGTGCAGTTGATCTATTTTTGGATAGATATTCTCTTGGTGATCATTATTTTGACTATAGATATATGGGGGGTTTCTTTTTGGATTAGTTTGGTAATCTTATTTCGTTGGAATCCATTGGATGTAAGTACATTAGTGAGAGTGTGTAGTTCAGTTTTTAGGTGTTGTTCGTCAGCTAAGCATTTTGTTCTAGAGATGAGTGTCTTGGCTACGGAGTTGATCTGTGCTGGGTGGTGGTGTGAGAGAGCATGCAGATAGCGGTTTGTGTGTGTTTTCTTCTGGTAGATGGTGTGTCCTAGGGAGCCATTGGGTTTCTTGTAGACTAAGACATCTAGGAAGGGAAGTTGGTTGTTAGCTTCTGTTTCCATGGTGAACTGTATTTTGGGGTGTAGGCTGTTGAGGTGTATGAGGAAGTTGTCCAGTTTTTCTTTCCCATGTGGCCAGATTATGAAGATATTGTCTACGTATCTGAGCCAGAGTTTGGGTTTGTGTTCAGATTTTTCTAGAGCTTGGGTTTCAAAGTGTTCCATGCAGAGGTTTGCAATGACAGGTGAGAGGGGTGATCCCATGGGTGCTCCTTCTATTTGTTTGTATTTTTGTCCATTATAGATGAAGTATGTGTTGGATAGACAATGGTTGGTCAGATCTAGGATGTGTTTTGGGGGGTTATATTTGTTTTGGATAGCTGTCAAGGCTTCTTTGATTGGCACTTAGGTGAACAGGGATATGACATCGAAGCTCACAAGTAGGTCACTGGGCTGTAAGTTTTGTTTCTTTATGATCTCTAAGAAATGGAATGAATTTTTTATGTGTGAGGTGATGGATTCTGCAGAGGGCTGTAGTTGTTTGGCAAGAAATTTGGATAGGTTTTGTAGAGGTGAGCCTATGGAGCTGACTATGGGTCTAAGTGGGGTTCCTTCTTTGTGTATCTTGGGTAGACCATAGAGCTTAGGGCATCTGGATGATTTCTCTCTGGGAATGATTCTTTGCTGGATCTTTTCGCTAATGGGGGAGGCTTTTATTTTGGATCTGGTGGTTTTTTCCAGGTAGGTGGTGGGATCTGTGTTTAGGGGTTTGTATGTAGAGTCTTGGAGTGGGTTGGTTAATTTGGTTTGGTAGTCAGATGTGTTCATAACCACCGTGGCATTGCCCTTGTCTGCTGGTAAGATTATTATGCTGGTGTCTTCTTTCAGGTTACGTAGTGCTGTCTGTTCCTCTTTGGGTAAGTTGCTTTTGGGTGGCTTGCTGGTGCAGAGGATATTGGTGATTTCGAGTCTGATTCTGTTAGCGTCATCTGGGTTGATTTTGGTCAGGCTGGTTTCAACTCCACATAAATTGGTTTCAGTGGGGATGTGTTTGGGAGCAACTGCAAAGTTGAATCCTTTGGAAAGGACATTGGTTTCGGCTTTGGTGAGGATCCTATCTGAGATGTTATGCACTGTTTGTTTCATGTGTGGCTGTGAGGGAGGAGGGGTTTGTTTCTGGTGTTCATGTAGTCTTCGGAGTTTGTTGGTGTGTGTGTGTCTGTCTTGAGGGTGGTCTGTGTTTCGGCTCTCCAGATGGCAAATTGTTTGGATTTGTCCCAAAGTGCGGGGTGGATCTTGTTGCTGAGTTTGAGGTGAAGTGTGAGGAGATCTTTGTTAATTCGGTCTAGGAGGAATCTTTTTGTGTGAAGTTCATTTCTGATTTTGTGCTCAGTTCTGGTTTAAAAAGACCAGAAGTATCGCCAAAACTGAACACTTTAATAACAGAATAATCAGAGAAGCCATCGAGATAGAAAAATGCCCACACAGCATGAACAAACGAGATGATACGTCCTGCCTACCAGCCATTTGGAAACCCACCCTTATTGACAAACAAGTCCCTAACACAAAGAATGACACCAGACCCACACTCACTAAAGCCACACAGTAGGTCACCATCACACGTCCACAAAAAAAGCAAACCCAAATCCACACCAATGATGAGACACGACCACAAACCAGAAGCCAGACCACAGCTGCATCATTAGCCACTTTAAACCCCTCCAATCCATACATGAAGCAAACTGACACCCACCATGAAGATGAGGCACGACCATGAACGCGAAGCCAAACAATAGCAATGCAGCTCACCATCTCACATCCCCATGCAACTCAGACTAACCTGAGCACAACAAAAACCCCACCCAAAGAGAACACTCCCCCAACCAATCAGAGCACAGACAACCCCCCATCCAATCAGAGCACAGACAACCCCCCATTCAACCAGAGCACAGCCAAGCTCCTAACCAATCAGAACACATCTCCATCCAATCAGAACA